AAATTAATGTTTAGAACATATGAAATTCATCGAAATTGAATTTCAGTACAAAGGTTTTAATCCATCACACAAGTTTTTTTGTGCCTGTTCCTCGTATACAGTGTACCCTGAGTATACAGGGAATCAAGGGACCTCCTTGTGTATTCATCCATGGAAACAACCAAATCATCTATTGAATTAAGAAAAGAAGCATTAAGCATCTCTATGGCTGCCTTGGCAAATGAGAGTGCTACCTCAAAAGGGTGATAATGATTCAAATCAAATTAAAATTGATTTAATTTTTTAAATATTATATAATATTATAAATTTTTAAAATTTAATATGAATTCGAATTCAATCAAATTGAATTTTACTTGTTTAATTTGATTTGATTTATTAATTTTTAAAATTTAAAAGTTAAATTTTTTTATATATTATTTTAATAAAATTTTATTATATTTAAATAAATTTTGATATAAAATTATTATTTTTATTTTATAAAAATTTAAAAAATATATAATTAAGTTTAGTTCATTTTTTTTGTTTTTTTTATTTTCAATATAAAATTCGATCTTAATTTAATGTAAGCATTTAATATCAAAATTTGATTCAAACCAAATAAAAAAATTAATCTAAATCAAATCAAATATTATGATTTTAAATTAATTTTTTATTTTCTCGATATTTTTTCTTACTCCTACCTCATATTTACTACTAGATCAACATAATATATATATATATATTGATGAGACAATTAAGATGTTTTTACTAAGAATTATTTTATATTTAAAATCATAAAAAATTATGAGTTTAACATACTACAAGCAAGTGTAGGCGGTGAACGACAACCCTTATTATTATTATTATTTTTTCATCTTTATTTTGTAGTGGTGTTGATTAATTTGTCCTTGTTTCCATCCTTTTAGTACTAAATGATAGCATTGCAACTAAATGTTTTATCAGTTACGTATGAAGATCATGTTCCTGTGAGTACTTTATTATCTTTTTATTTTGATATTTTCAAGATCTCGATTCAGGATGACTTTTCTTGTTATCGTAACGGTTTTAAGATCGTCAAACGTAAATAAATTTTAAAATAAAAAAAATAAAAAGAAGTCGTCACTAATTTTTGTTAAGGTGTGATTAATCACCCAAAAATTTATCTTTTTAATAAAATTATAAAAACGAGTTTAAAATTCATTAAAAAAATAATTTTTGGTTTACAAAAAATCAGGTTAGGTCTGGGAGTCGGTTACGTATGAAAAAAGTTAGTATCCTCACAACGCCCATAAATTAGTATCATTTAATTATGCGCTATTTTCGGTATTGGATAAAAATAGTTTTTACTTGAATTTAATATTAATTCTCTTCGTTTTGAAAAAATAAAATTTCGCTAAAGCTCTTTATTTAGGAATATTAAAAAAAATCTTAAAGTTAAAGAATTATTTTAAAATTTTTCAACATCTAGGCAGAATTTAAAATAATTTTTTTCGGTTAAAATTTAATACGATAATCTTTAAAAATAAAATAATAATCTTTATTGAAGATAATTGTTATTGACTCTCCAACATTTAGGTAGAGTACCAAAAATTATTTTCTTCGAAATGTTATTTTTATTTTATTTTATAATATCACAATTTTTTTAAATGTATTATTCTTTTTTATTATAAAATATTTTATCATCAAATAGTAAATAAAAATTAAAAGAGAATAATGCAGATAATTATCGACGATAACACGCTAATGTATGTATGCTAATGAATGTCATGTAAAATGAAATGCAATTTAAAAGTTGAATTCTTAAGTAAAATGAAACCACCTCGACTTTCCAACATTTATGCAGAGTTTAAGTATGACTGTTTATATTTAAGATCCCAATTTACTATTATACTTTTTATTAATCTTATTATTAATGCGAAATAAGAATTCGTGTAAAAAAACTTAACGAAGAAAAGTTTCCTAAATACTCCATCATCTAGGCGACATTCGAGAACATATTACTTCAAATAAGATTTTCATATGTGTCTTTAAGATTTTCAGAATATTTTGAGTAAAGGCTTGGGTAGAGGTTTTAAAGGTTAGGGTTTTACGATTTTAAAAATTTAGATTTTAGGGTTTTAGATTTTAGGGGGTTTTGAATTTTGGGGTCTGGATTTAAATATTGAGATTTTAGGGTTTTGAATTTTAGGGGTTTGAATTTAAGGGTTTAAAGGTTTTAAGATTTTGGATTTTAGGAGGTTTAGATTTAAGGGATTTTTGATTTTTGGAGTTTTAAAATCCTAGGATTTTGGCTTTTTAAAAAAAGAGGTTTCGTTTTTTAAGAAAATTCAAACATCTCTAAAAATCTTCAATATCTAGGCAGATTTTCGGAGCAAGTTCAATTTTGGTAATTTTTGAAAATTGATCAATAATTTCTCATATATTTATTTTTTATGAAAATTTATTAATAATAATTTCACAACATCTAGGCGGAATTATTTTTAGAAAAATATTTTTATTTTCTCCAACATCTAAATAGGAAAATTAATAAAAATTATTATTTTTTTGAGCATTTTTAATATATATTTTTAATTATTACTTGTTTTCAATTTTATTATTATTAAAACAATTAAACATTTATTCTAACAAATTAAAAAATTATCATGCATGAATATATAAAAAAAACTCAAAATAACAAAAATAATAATATAAAAAAATTTAGAAAATTTAAAAAAATTTTTTTTTACCTGAACTGAACCGGTCAACGATCCGGTCAACGATCCGGTCAATGTTAGTCTGGACCGGTCTAACCAGTTCTATGGTTTAGTTAGCGGTTCGGGTTGGCGATCCACGGTTTGGTCTGTTTCAAACCGGTTCAATTGGACCGATCAACAACTGTTGGAAGAACGGGTCCACGGGTCAGGTTACACGGATATTGAGTCGGATCTCGGTTAACGTGTGGATCCTTCTTGACTTAAAATGACGTCATTTTGCTCTTTAGTCTTTTATATATAACGAAAAAAAAATTTTTTGTTCATTCTTTTCCTGTTTCAAAAAAAAAAAAGAGAGAGAGAGAGCTCTGGGGGAAAGCTTCGAGCTCTTGTTGTCCGATCGTCGGACCATCGCACTGGCAGCGACCTGGGTCACCGCCGGTGGTTTTCGATTGCCAAAAAATACAAAAATTATTCTGGCAGCTCTCTTCAACGCCTTTTTTTCAAATCTGACTTTTTTTTTGTCAGAAACAACCCCAATCGTCGTAGATCGGGGCTTGAAGTTTTCTGCCTTTTTTTTTTTTTGAGACTAAAACTGATATGTTTTCTTTGTTTTTGCGGGGAGCTCGGTGCTGAGGTTCCTCTCTACGGGGAGGACTGTTTGTCTTTTTTTTTTTGTTTTTGTTTTTGTGTTTCTGTTTGGGTATGAGTTTGGTAAGGGTTGAGGTCGGATTAGGGTGCTAGTATGGGGACTTAGCTTGTTGAAAGGGGGGCTGCGCAGTGATGAAGGGTAAGCTTTTCGTTTGGTGCCAAAAGGGTGTCCGAGAGAGAGATTTTTGAAGGGGAAGAATCTATGAGGTTTTTAAGAGCTTTAAATAGAAGGGATCTAGGTGGCTGTAGGGTGACTGTAGGTGAGCTGAACAGGGGGCTGGTTAGGGGTTGGACAGGGGCTGGTCGGAGGCAGTAACGACACCATACCAACCCTCTGGTTTCTGTCTCCTTTTTCTTTTTTTATTATTATTATATTTTTTAAAATTATTATTATTATTATTATTATTAAAATTATTAATATTAAACTGAAATGAAAATAATAGACCCGATCAAAATCAATGTCTACACTTGCATCTTTTTTTTTTTTATAACAAAATGTCAATAGAAAACACGTTGTAAGAAGATTGGATTTAATATCTAGAAATTGTAAATGATTTAGGCTTTGCATCAAATCTTATGTAAAGAACTGACCCGAAACTATTGAAAAGGAGATTTTGCTCTGATGTTCTCATTTTGTAGATTGCCAGAAATTCCAAAACAGAACCCCCCCCCCCCCCCCTTTTCTTTCCCACAAGAAGCAAACCCTCTAATATGCATATATATATATATATATATATATATATATATATATATATTGAAAGGCAGAAAAGGATTTTATTAATTGGAAAACTCTCTCCAATTGGCAGAGTTTGGCAGTGATTTCTACAGGTACAGGTTTTCACGGGCACCTTGTTCATAGTCTACTAACTCATGCCATAATATTTTAAACAGTAGAAGCAAAAATTTTAATAATCAATTTGTCCCTTATGAAAAGCGGTTTCCGGTGAATATTAGCTTAGTGACCTTGCGCAGATGGTGCAATTGAAGTTCTTTAATATCACAAACATAGCTTTCCGTGCTGAGTGGTGAAAATTATGTTCCTTTACTGGACGAGTAGCCTCCATTCTGATCATATCCCTTCCTTATCGACTCACTCTGCAGAACAAGCTGTGGCACTATGTTAGAATAAAAACCGAAAATCTGAAATTACTGTATTTGATAAATCTAAAATTTAGAAAAAAACTTTAAAGTTTATAACGATATCACTTTTCTTAAAACTTTAATTCGATTCAATTAGGTTTTTTTTTTATATTATTTTTATTATTTTATTTTATTTTTATTTTTATTTTATAAAAAACTTAAAATATATATAAAAACTAAAAAAATATATAATTTGATTTAATTAGATTTTCTTTTTCAATTTTTTACCTTTTAATCTGAAATCTGAAATCTGAAATCTGAAATGAACTTCGTATATACATTTAATATCTAAAATTGATCTAAAACGAATAAAAAAAAAACCATACTAAAACAAATCAAATATTACAATTTCGAATTAATTTTTAATTATTTTGGTTTTTTTTTCACCCCTAATTACGTGTTTAGAGTTGTTAGTCAACAATAATAGTAGTGGCCTTCTTTATATACCGCATGTTATCAACAGTAGAATCTTGATATCAAAGGCCTATATATATCAAAGAAAGCTCGGGTCAAGTGTGACAAGATAAAGCTATAGCAGCAATGGGAACATGGATAATATATCTCTCAAGTTGCCAGTCTTTATTCTTTCTAATGATTCTCATCAAGTTCTTCATCAAACTATGGTGGACTCCAACTCGCCTACAGTCTATTATGAGTTCACAAGGAATCAAGGGCCCTCCTTACAGATTCCTGCATAGAAGCACCAAAGAGATCATAAACATGGGAAATGGAGTCATGATCAGTCCCATGGAGTTATCGCATCATGTATTTCCTAAAATTCAGCCTCACGTTTATTCATGGATGAAGCTCTATGGTAAGAGTGATCAGCAAGTTAAGTTTTGAACATTTTGATATTCCTTATATCTGTATAATCAAATCACCGACTACTGTAACATACTGATTGAAGGGAAAAACTTCGCAGACTGGCTCGGTCCTCATGCTTACTTAGTAGTTACTGAACTTGAGCTAGTTAAAGAAATTCTAAGCAACAAAGCCGGAGCTTATCCGAGGAGGCAGCTCGAAGGTTACTGGAAGATGCTCTTAGGGGATGGCCTTGTATCCCTCCATCCTCTAAGAAAAGAAAATTGAAGTTCAAAGACCAGTTCATAATATGAGCATGACATAGTGCTTTGCATTCTTGCACTTAGCCGTAGAACAGAGAATTTGGATATTACCACTAACATGGCAGAATGATCGGGCGCCAAGCAGCTGGTCTAGGAGGGATGGGCCTACAGCTTCATGATAGGCACGTTCAGGAATAGCCCCACAAGGGAAAATAAAAAGGAATCAAAGACCGGCTATCATGATTAACAAACAAAAGAAAGCAAAAGAGGAAAAAAAAAAAAAGCAAAGCTGGAAGAAATAACCCGTGGCCCAAAGCCCCAAATCAACATCTAGAAATTTGGTTCAGCAACAGGCGATGTCTAATTGTTGCTGTCTTCTCTTCTTGTTTACATTCTTATAATTATTTGGTGTCTAGCTTAGTAGCCGACTAAGGAGGTGGGCAGGACAGGCACAAGGTTACCAGGTTTCTGCCTAAACAGGATTAGGCCCCATGTTAGAGTCCGGTCTCCTCCAATACAAGCCAAGCCTAATGTGAATTTTTCTGACACTGATCAAAAGGATGAAATTTGTGGCAAAGTTGGAGAAGATAAATCCAGCAATGGAGAAAAACCTGGGTTTGTAATTGGAAGGAAAATCATGATCGTGGTTGATTCCAGCATTGAAGCCACGGGAGCTATACAATGGGCACTCTCTCACACTGTCCACTGTCAGGACACAGTTATTCTTCTTTATGTGACAAAGCCCTCGAAACAAGGTTGGAGCTCTTCATTTTCTTGTCATATATTTACCCTGAAAAAGTTTTGATTATTGGTTAGAATCACTCATGTAAAGAGATAAACTGATTAGTATAGTTGAAAAACTTAATACAGTGCCAGTTACAAATGATGTGTCCGATAAGAGCGAAGCTCCAAGTCCAAGGGCATGTGAACCAGTTTCCTCCCTGAAAAATATGTGCAAGCAGAAGAGACCGGAGGGGGGTTGGATCGGATATATCCTTTAAATTTAATCTTCCCAGTTCTGAACCTCAAATTTTACTTAGTTTTGTTCTCAGTTTACAAATGATAAGTAAATTGGTTATTAGCTGTTCACAAGGCACATATACTAATGCTATGGCTTTGGTCTGGCAGGTTGAAGTTGACGTAGCAGTGGTGCAGGGAAAAGAGAAAGGTCCAACAATAGTTGAAGAGGCCAAAAAACAAGGAGTAGCACTTCTGGTTTTGGGACAGAAAAAAAGGTCCATGACTAGGCGTCTCATCATGATGTGGGCGGGGAACCGGGTAACTGGTGGAGTTGTCGATTACTGTATCCAGAATGCTAGTTGCATGGTAGTTGCAGCAAGAAGGAAAAGAAAAAGACTTGGAGGTTATTTGATCACCACTAAGCGGCACAACGATTTCTGGCTCTTGGCTTAAACAAAGCAGCATTATTTTTTATTGCCTACCAACTCTTTTCAACAAAGGGGATTGAGGATTCTATTCTTACTCCAGAATATATGTGATTTTTCCAGTGTTATGGTTTGTAAATAACGCTACTAATGTATATTGAGAAAAGGAAAAGGGGGTTTGGTGTGTGAATGAAAAAGTTTGTGTTGTGTCATTTTTCGTGGCCTTGGCGATTATGGCTGAAGGGAAAGACAATTGGGTCCCTTGACCACTTCAGGGTCTCTTCTGGATGCTGCAGTGGCTTAAAAGAAGCACATAGTTCAACAAATTTTGGTTTTTTGCAATTTATACCAGCAGGTAGAACAGGGTTGGTACTCTTAGATCCTCCTCAAATTGCCGACGTTTGTTGCAGCAGAGATGCTGGCAGGATGATCAGCTTTTCTGAAGCTGCAACACACCATAACTGCACCATGCATGGTTGTAATTACAATAATTTGGTCTTTGACATGGTTTCTGCTTGAACCTTGTAACTATATCTCAGTTGGTTTACAAGAAATGCTTTTCAATCTGAGTAATTGGCAATTTTGTGTGAATCGCCATGTTTCTATAATCTATAACCAACTTATCAAAAAAGACCTTTCAAAGGGGGGTTGACGCCAATCAACTCTGTATGTAGAATGTTGGCCAGAATCAACTAGAAAAATGTATGACTTGAACTGTTGAACAATTGCTGCTGAGGCTATACTTAATCCATTTTCTTTTCATGCTCCAAAGTCAAACAAGATAAGTTACATTGATTAGCCACATAAAACTGGTGGACAATCTGTTATTTGGAGCAGGACCCATTGGTCATCACCGGCTTCAAATGCCACTTAATTTTGCACTTATAAGACATTAAATGCAAACGGACTCCCAAGCAATTTTCCTCGTACCTTTCTTTTGCCCATCGTACGTGGAGTATAGGCCATCAATTGGTACGAATATGGATGAGTCTGATACTTGTCATAACTTTTGGGCCCTCTGTTCCTTCAACATGTAGCAAGCACTTTATCCAAGCAACAAAAAAGTCGAACCCAAAGCCCACCATAATAAACCCCGTACAGAACCCAAAACTATAAACTGAACCCCTGTAATTCTTCTTCGTTTCCTTCATGTCCTGTTCTTCTCAACCGCCCTTTCATATGACCAAGTCGCAGCAGCCTATGGTTAATCATTCAAGTGGCGGAACCAAAGCAGAAGAAACAGAGCGAACAGAGCGGGCAGCAAAAGGGCAGCCCCAGATGCCATCTCCATGAAGCTCAAGGCTTAAAAATCAACCCTTTCGAGACCATCTGGTCCCGCTGCAAGTTCGACATGCTTGGCCAGAAACGCAAGGGAGAAGAACGCCGGATTGGCCTTGCTCGTTCTCTCGCCATCCAAAAGGCATGGGCTACCCCTGAAACTCACCCTTTTGTCTCTGTTTATATTTATCTGTGTTACTTGTGTTAATGAGAGTCTTTTGGGTTTGTTTCAGAGAAAGAAAACGCTGCTGAAAGAGTACGAGCAAAGTACAAAGTCTTCTATTTTTTTGGGTAAGAGAATTGGAGAGCAAAATGATAACTTGGGAGAGTTTGAAAAGGATATTATGCGATCTCAGCGTGAGCGTCGGGTTGGTTTCTTTTAAAATGCTTTTTTTAGTTCTTTTAACTGATTGGTTTCCATTGTAGACAAAAAATGATTGCTATATTCATATGTATGTATATATACATATATATTTTTTCTGGGAGTTTTAGAAACTTTGTTATAGTTATTGAGGCTTATAAAAGTTTGTGTCTTTTGCTTTTTCCTTAGTGAAATTTTAAAGCTTTTGGTTAGTTGTGGTTTACTATTAATGTAAATTAAGGTGGTTCTGCTGAAACTGGAATAGAAAATTTTGTGAATTGGGCATTGCCTGAAGAATATTTGGGAGAATGGAAGCTGGATGAGTTCCTTTATTCATAACAGTTTTTTTTTTTTTCTTTTTTGAATAAAATATCGAATAAACGTTGCTAGAACTTGACTTTATTGACCTTGGCTTTCATTTTGTTAGTCGTGTTTTCATGTGCTTTCTTGGTTACTACTATTTGCATAATTGGAAAGAGAATAGCTAATTTTTGGGGTTAAGTCTATATAATTCTAATATTCCATTTTATTTTCTTTTTCTTTTATCTCTTTTTGGTTCTATAGTTGAAATTGGGAAAAAAGGGCAAGTTCAATTTATCAGATGGAGAAGAAGATGAGTTCGACGCACCAGGTTTTGGTTCCTTTCCTGAGAGGAATGATTTTGAGGAAGATATGCTATCTGACGATGGTAATGATGATGACAACCGTGAGATTTGACTTCTGCTTTCCATTATGATAATGAATTTATAATTTGTCTATTTATAATCCTAAATTCCTCATAACTTTTTCATTTGTTCAAATAATGTGTTACTTTTCCCTACTGTAGCTTTTTCATATACAATACATAAGTGGCTTTAATCTCTGCTGTTTGTTTGTAAGACTCCAGTCTACGGCAAGGACTGCATATTCTTCTTTATATATTCTTACCATGTAGTTGAAACTCAATAAAACAGAGAAAAATATTTTGAAACTTGGTTGGCAGCATTGATAAACTTCAATCTAGCTTTTGTTAATGATGTCAGCTATCTTAAAGCAACTTAATTCTAATGGTGCACAGAATCCATTGGAAGGGAATTTGATGGAAGGAGAGGAAAATGTAAGACCCATTCTTTTTCATTAAGAGACACTTATTCATATTTGTGTTTGATGATCCACTCTGCAAGTTTTTTATGACTAGCTTGTTTTGAATTCTTTGGAGCCTGTAATCATGATTACGTTGGCAGATTTATCCTACAAAGGTGTCTTCAAATGCTAGTTCATTTTCAGTCTATAATCTTGGTTAGCTGTTTGATCAGGCATTAACCTTTAGTTATTGATTCTGGCGTGTTGCAGAATCAGAACATTGGTGTTTTGCTAGTCCAAATTGATATTTTCCACTCCTTTGGTCTTATCTTCTTTATGGGTTATCTATGTCAATTAAATGATATTCAATTTCATGCAAAATCATTCAGGTCATATATGAAGTGATTAGTATACTCAAATTTTAGCTGCTAAAGATTCCTTTTTCCTGTGTCTTCCAGTATACACATTTTGTCATAACATTTGTAGTAATGTGATATGAAAAACACACTTTTGCCTGGGTAATTTCCCCTTTCTTAATCTGACTGGTAAAGTTTTCTGAGGTTGAGCTCTTAAAGGTGATCTATTTCAATTGTTGATATCCACAATATGAAGCAATAGGAGTTACAGTGGAAGTGACTGTACATGCATACGTTATACTCTCTCCCTATCTCTTCCCTATTTGCACTTGGATTTTTGTGCATTCATTGTGGAACATGTTATCGTGATGTGTTATTAGATGCCTAAAACGTGACTTAAATTGATGGCTTTCATGCTACAGAAGCACAGAACCAAGAAGGAAATAAGGGAGGAGGTTATTTTGAAGAGCAAGTATTTCAAGGTAAAATTCAGATGCACCATAAAGTTAACTGTATTATTTCCAGACTGCTCTTGAGTCTTGAAATCTGGTCTCTAATTTTTTATTTTTCTTATTTCTTACCAGGCACAAAAAGCAAGAGATGAAGAAAATGAGCAGTTGATGGAAGTATTAGATAAGAACTTCACATCTTTAGTGGAGTCCCACGTCCTATTGTCTCTCACTGAACCGGGCAAGATGAATGCCTTGAAAGCTCTTGTGAACAAAAGCGTTCCAAATGAGCATGTGAAAAAGGAAGAGTTACCAGTTACTCAGAGAGCAGAAACTTATAAGCAGGTAAAGAGTTATGGTTCTAGGCTCTATCTTATTAAACTAGCCATGCTGGATGAGCACTCTTGTCCATACAAACTTCTGTCTTCATTATTTGCTATTGTTGTTTTCTGAAATCCTACTTTAGCACGCCATATTTCTTCACAGTTTAAGAAGTATGATGACAAGAAGGTGTTTTATACCAGTTAGCATTAAAACATTGTTGCTTTTAGTTTTGAAGAAAAGAAAGCTTTCTTACCATAATTATGACTGAAATTAACGTTATGTCTCTCAAAATTTCAGATACAGGCATACTTTGATGCGTAATCAATGTCAAGCATTAAAACCTCTTTTTACTTTATTTGACAGCAACAACCTGACTCATATGATAAACTTATCAATGAGATGGTATTGGATATGCGTGCTTGGCCGTCGGACAGGACAAAAACACCTGAGGAGATTGCCCAAGAGGAAAGGGAGCAACTCGAGCGATTAGAGGTATCTGTGGTCAATACTCAACTACTTTTGTTAGTTGTATATGCTTTTTACATGGTTCAATTTTATTTGGAGATGCTATTAAATTTAGCTACAGTTCATAGGCTGTAAAGTTGATAGAGGTTTTCTGTGAGATGGAAATTCACATAAAACTGGGGGTTATCTTCTGCTTTATTGGTTGGAAATAAGATTGTTATTTAAAAGTTTCGATAAGTTTCTAAGATTTTTATTTGATATGATAGCTTTTCTATTTTATTTTTTTGATGATAACACTACCAGGACATGGTATTTATGTTGGACTCTGTGTTATGATCCATATGCTTTATCTGGGATTCCACAAATTCCAGGAATAGCATCAGAAGAGGATGTTAGCAACGGATTATTCTAGCGATGAAAATGTTGATAAAAATTCTGCCCAGAGGCTAAGGTCTGTCTCAGGAGATGATCTTGATGACCCCTTTGCACTTGATGAGGAGCCTGGTAGTCAAAGAGGCTGGGTTGATGAGATTCTTGAAAGAAAGGATTTAGATGATTCTGAGAATGAAGATGAGAATGCTTCTGAAGATTCAAAAAGTGCTGAAGATACCAGTGAAGATGAAGGATTTGAAGAAGATGGTGATGATGATGATGAACATGAATAGACTCTATCTCTGAAGGATTGGGAGCAGAGTGATGATGGCGATATTGGTACAGATTTGGAAGAGGTTGA